ACTCCCTTTCCTCCCACCTACCCTATCCTTAACTCTCAGCCCTGGGCAACCATTCATCTATATTCTGTCTCTATAAATTTGCCTTTTCTGGATGTTTTACATACATGTTTTCATAGTAATTTATTTTTTATACGCTCTATTCTGCCATTCAGTAGGTGCTTAAGAAATGTTTGTTCAATGAATGAATGAATGTACTAAAGATTGAGAGACTGCTAGGAAGCGTGGCAAGGGGGAAAGAATACTGGACCAAAAGCCAGAAGACCTGCACTCCAGGCCTGGTTATGTGACCTAGCAAAAATCACTCGACCTTTCTGACTCTCAGCTTTCTAGTCTGTAAAGGAGGGATAATAATATCTCCCCTCCTTATTTCAAAAGTTCACAGTAAGTGTCAAGTGAAAAAAATCACTTGGAAATATTTTATATAGCTCTAAGCAAGCTGTATAGATGTAAGAATAATTTATGTTTGTGTTTACTCTCATCCCTTGAAATGCCTATAAAAATAAATCACTTATTACACGAATGACACAGGGAGAAGGAAGAACGACAGAATGCCAGTCTGAGGGATATCGGCTCCTGGAATGACTGCAGTTAAATCAGGGAAAAGAGCTAACAAATGCCCTGGTTATCCCATATCCATTACCACAAACATTTCCCAGCTGAATGGGGAGATAAAAATCTGTTTTCCAGTGAAAATTAAACTCAATTCACTGGAAGAAAAATGATGATATAATTTCCTCTTATCTTTTTGCTCTCAGGAAATTCTAATTAATATGCTAATTACTTCTGTTTTGCAGGGCCTTTGCATCCATCAGAAAGGGGAGATTCAGGTTCAAGAGTGAGCTCTTTATTGCCTCACACAGAAGTGGTAGTGGAGGAGGAACTACATGGTGGCTCAGTCCCTTTCTCTCCCTTTAGGTTTAGAAGACTTTGTAGTCTTCTAAATGTGAGTATATTTATTTAGAATATACTCTAATTCTAAATAATTATATTTATTTCTCAAATGTGAAATTCAGGCTCTACAGAGAGATATACAGGACAGAGATGGGATGAGATTATTAGAATAAAACCTCTGAATCTAATAAGGAATATTTTGGAGGAAAAAAAAACGGTCTTGCATGTGAAGATTTATCTTTAGATAAACTTTTCTTCCACCCAATATTTTTGTAAAACTCCCCAAGTTCCATCCTTTCGTAGAGGTTAGTAGAGCCCCAGACCTTTGTCTGGTACAGGAGAGAGTTTGGATAAAAATATATGAATCTGGACAAAAGGGCCAGCCCCACTTCCTTCAGCCTCTTAAAGTCTGAGACTTGGGGCTTCCCTAGAGGTGGACCAGTGAGCCAGGCCTCCCCACCGTTTCCATCTGGTGGCCTTTGGGCACTACCTTCCAACTTGCCACCTTGTTTTTCCCACTCCCCTGATCATCTGATCAGCCTACTGCCTTCCTTCCCAATAAAGGTCATGTTCTTCTTTTCCTCTGTCCCTATTCCTGCAATTTCCCCCATAGCCACTGCTTCCTTCTTATCCAGGGTTTCTTACCGTCAGCACTATTGACCTTAGGTCATATTGTTCTTTGTGGTGAGGGGCTGTCCTGTGCCCCATAGGATGTTTAGCAGCATTCCCAGGCCATTTCACTAGATACCAATAGCACCTCCAAGTTATGACAACCAAAAATGTCTCCAGACGTTTCCCAGTGTCCCCTGAGTATGAAGTCACCTCATTGAGATCCCCTAAACCAGTCCTTTCTCCCTTCATCTGGGGCTCTTGTTTATTAAGCCTTTCACAGAGAAGACACTGAATTAAATCTTTCATGTGTTTTATGCTGATGGTTCTCAAAATGTAATGAACATAAGCATCACCTTGGAAGGTTCTTAAACTGCATATTCTAATTCAGTCATTTTTTTTTTTGGAAGGGCTTGAGATTCTACTTTACTTTTATTTCTTTTTTTTGAGACAGGGTCTTGCACTGTCACCCAGGCTATAATGCAGTGGCAAGATCATGGCTCGCTGCAGCCTTGACCTCCCGGGCTCAAATGATCCTCCTGCTTCAGTCTCCCAAGTAGCTGGGACCACAGGCATGTGACATCACAACCAACTAATTTTTATTTATTTTTGTAGACAGGGTCTTGCCATGTTGCCTAGGCTGACCTCAAACTCCTGGGCTCAAGCAATCCTCCCACCTTGGCCTCCCAAAGTGCTGGGATTACAGACGTGAGTCACTATACCCAGCCCAAGATTCTACATGTCCAACAAGGTCCCAGATAATGCTATTACTGCTGGCTTATGGGCCACACTCGGTGAGCAAAGCTGCAGGTCATCACATCCTCATGGTCATATGAGGACTCTATTTCACAGATGAGGAAGCTGAGGCTCAGAGGGCTCATATGTGGCTCGATCACATTTTGAACCCAGGTCTGCCTGCCTCCAAAGCTGGTGCTCATAACTAGATTCTCAGTTGATGTTGGGCCAAGGTGCCTAGGTTCTCTCCTTGACCTTCCTTCTCAAGTAATGATGCTATGATAAGTTCATCGGAGGCTAAGGCCCAGGCACGTGTTTACCTGAACTATCTATGTTATATGATTCCTTCCTCAGACAGAGTGAGCTACTCACGATCCCAGGTGTATCCTGAGGCCAGCCAAGGTGTATCCATGACCTCATGCCTCTGTTCCAGCCTGCCCTTTGACAGCTCATCCCACCTGCCTGCCCTCCCTGCCTATCTGCAGACGGTAGTCTAGGATTGCAGCTGCCCCGGGGGCTCATTTTCCGTCTCAGCTTCCTGCCTTAGCCGTCTCCTGCCTCCCACTCACCTATTATTCCAGCACTCTCACCTGGTCTTTTCTGTCTCATCACTGCCTCTTGACATCTTTATCTCATAGTAGTTAGTTAGGGGTTCTTGGTAATGCCCTAAATCCTTATGGCAGGCGGAGGGGAGTGGGGAAAGAGAGTGTGCTGTGCGGCTGTGCCTACTTCTGGAGGGTAAGACTCGGGCCCTCCAGGAACAAAGGATTCCGGGTGGTGGCAGCTATAGCCGAGCAGGATGCTGGCCAGGGATTACACAGGAGTATTTTGTTTGCTTAAGAAAATAAACAACACTGAGTATGAGATGGAGGGAGGGGGTGTTGGTGCCAGAGAGATTGGGAAGAATCTGCCAAGAGAGTGTTCTACTCACTCTCCTCTTTTCTTTAATCTCCACTGAGCTGGAGGCAGTTATCCTGTCCCCCACATCACATTCCTACTCCTGTTTCCCATGCCTGGACCCAGGTTGGGCAAACTCTTCCTGTAAAGAACCAGATAGGAACTATTTTAGGCTCTGTGTGCCATATGGTCTCAGTCACAACTACTCATCTCTGCCTCTGTAGCACGAAAGCAATTAGCGACAATATGTCAACAAACATATGTGACCCATGAAAACTTTATTTATGGATACAGAAACCTGCAAATAATGTCTTTCTTTTGATTTTTTCCCCAATCATTAAAAAATGTAAAAAGTACTCTTAGGTCGCAAGGTTAAGCCATTCTCAGCTTAGCAGTGGCAGGCTGGATTTGGCTTGTGACCTACAGTTGGCCAATCCCTGATTCCCAAAATGTATTCCTCAGGGATGTGGGCAAATACTTATGGGAAATGCTGGATTAAACAGAGTTAAGAAGCATCAGACATTTCCAGGACGGGCTAGCACATGCCAGGGCTCTCTAACTGACTTCATTAGGATTCATCTGTTTCATGGAGGATCTTGCAAGACCAGAATTCCTCAAGCCTAGAGTCTGAGGACTGTGCTTTGGGAAACAGTGCTCTGCTTGATGCTCTCAGTGGGCACATGGTAGAATCTAGAGCTGAGTGCCTTGCTAGCTGGAGATAGGGTCAGAGCTCTTGACTGCACTGGCACTCTTGACACATCACACTCTCGGTGTCCCCTGAGTGGTTCAGAGTCACACAGGCCAAGACTAGCCCACCAGAACACCAGGCCTTCCAGCTTTCTGGGCTTGTCCATGCATACACTTCCTTATTCTTCCAGGTTTCCAGAACCTGAGAGGCACATTTTGATTGAGTGATTATAACCCTAAGGACCAAGGGTAGCTGCATGTCAGGAAACACTCCTCAACTTCCTGGCCCTGACGGATTAAAGGAGAGGTACTTACAGGTGATTCCTTCCTGTGGACTACTGCCCAGCATGAATAAGGCATCATTATTGAATTATTTTGACAGGAAGGAGACTGGTGCATGCTGCACAGTAATAATGTATTAACATGTGTACAGTTTACCTAGGACCTCTGTGTTGTTTTTGCATTTGTTTATTACACTTGCCCTTGGGGGGAGGTGGGACAGATTTTTTAAAAATTTATACATGCAGAGACTGCAGCTCAGAGAAGCTAAGAGACTTGTCCCTGCCCACACAGCCTGTGGTAGAGCCTGAACTCAGATCCAGGTCTCATCTCACCTCAGGGGCTGCTTTCCCCATCGCCCTATTGTCTTAAAGTGATGGGTGACTAGGCAATGAAGTAATTCGCTAGGAAAGCATGACCAATTTCCCTTTCTCCACCTCCCTCTTTTTCCTCCACCCCTCCCCCCTCAGCCCCCATATATATGCCCAAATCTCCACAAAGCCTTGCTTGCCTGCAAACATTTACTTCCGAAACGACTTCCACGGCTGGGACGGGAACCTTCCACCCACAGCTACGCCTCTGATTGGTGAATGGTGAGGGTGCCTGTCCAACTTTTCTTTTCTGCAAAGAGAACCAGCCCCCTCCAGGCAGCCAGCCCTCAAGCATCACTTACAGGACCAGAGGTGAGCATGGGGATTCTTGCGTACTTTTCTTTGAAGGACTAGACCTCTGCTTTATTTGTGAAAGGGGGTCAAGGTGGGGACAGCAGAAGTCAATTTTTTGAGTGTTGATGTAGGGACAAGACATGACTGTGATGAGGAGCTGCTTTTGCCAATTTAACACCAAGAAGAATTAAGGCTGCTTGGGAGGAAGGCCGGGAGGAACACGAGACTGAGAGATGAATTTTCAAGAGGCTGCAAAGTCTGTGGAGTTTAGCCAGGTGCGGTGGCTCATGCCTGTAATCCCAACACTTTGGGAGGCTGAGGTGGGCAGATAATTTAAGGTCAAGAGCTCGAGACCATCCTGGACAGCATGGTGAAACCCTGTCTCTACTAAAAATAAAAATAAAAAAATTAGCTGGGCATGTGTTTTCGATATTTTCAGATACAAAAATCCCAGCTACTTGGGAGACTGAGGCATGAGCATCACTTGAACGTGGTAGGCAGAGGTTGCAGTGAGCCGAGATCATGCCACTTGACTCCAGCCTCGTGACAGAGTGAAATCCTGTCAAAAAGAGAGAGAGAAAAAAAAAGCCTGTGGACTTTGAAAGAACAGAATGAAAAGACATTGTGAGAGATGCTGAAGCATAGCCCCTGTGCCCCGTGACCCATAACCCAGGGGTCGCTGCCTCCCTAGCCCAGGTGCCAGCAGAACTGGGTCTTCTCTGGTCTTCCTCCCAGTGTGGGGGTGGGAGGCAGTTTCTTTAGGTGTCAGACCAGTGCCTGGAGTAAGAAAGGTTCTTAAATGATTGTGTAAAGAAGCACAAAAGAAAGGGAGAAAGTGAGAAAGGGAGGGAGCCAGAAAGCAAGGAAGGAAGGAAGAAAGAAAGGTAAGGAGGGAGGGAGAGAGGGAGGGAAAGAGCAAAGGACAAAGAAGGCAGGTGGAAAGACATTCTCTGCATCGGTTATAATAAATACATAATGGCGTTAGGTACCCCAGCTTGGAGGTTCTGCACACAGTCCTTCCCAACCGGCACTTCAGAGGAAGGCTTTAGAGATGATTCATTGGGAAATCTGATGCCTCTCTCTTATTTGGTAAAAAAAAAAAAAAAAAAAAGAAAAAGTGAATTCTTAGACTCAAGAATGAGTGGTTAGTGGAGGTGGCAGAGTCTGTGTATGACCCTGACCTGCCCTCTGTGTCCCTCCCTGGGACCAGGATTAACCCCTTGCTCCCTTGTGATGAGGAGTGAGGGACAGCCGTCTCCTGGAGAGGAGAAAAAGACCTGCTGTCTATGTGTGCCTAGTGACTTCAGGGCAGAACTTGGACAAGCACATGTCTAGTTCAGCTCTTTGTTTTCCTAGGTTTGGGCTCCCCAGACGAGGCACATTAGAACCTCCCATTTCTCCACTCTTCTGGGTCAAATTCTGACTTGTAGGTTGGAGGCTAGACAGAACGGCGATGGAGAAGGGGGAGGTGCAGGGCATGCGGCTGTGGATGGGCAAGGTGGGGAAGAGCAGGTGGACTGATGGTAAGACCAGCAGCTTTAAGTCTGAGGGGCAGGAAGACCCCTGCTTCACCCTCAGTGCACCCTAGCAAGGCTGCCGGTTTGCAATAGTCTCAACTTTCCCATTGGAGAGCCCCCAGGATTGGCCTGGGGACACTCTCAAAGCATTTTCCCAGGGTATGTCACTCTGGGTCACAGGGCCGGCCTCACAGGCTGCCTCCCTTTCTTTCAGCAGACTCTTCTGCCCTCCTTTGCTGGCGACAGTCTCCCAAATGCAGATGGCTGTGCTCCCTTGCCTGGGTCTTATCCTGCTTCTCTGGAGCCAGGTGCCAGGGGTCCAGGGCCAAGAATTCCAATTTGGGCCCTGCCAAGTGAAGGGGGTTGTTCCCCAGAAACTGTGGGAAGCCTTCTGGGCTGTGAAAGACACTGTGGTGAGTAAAGAGCTGTTCTGGACTCAGCTGTGGGGGTTCCTAGGGGCAGTGGGCCGGTGGGGTGAGGGGGAAGCTATTTTATGATTCTTGAGTCCTTCGCAGCTTCCTAATCAGTTTCCAGTTTCCCATGTGATAACTCTGTGAGGTCAGAAGGCACCACAAGCCCCATTTACACATGAGGAAATTGGGGCTCAGAAAAAATGTGAGCAGAAAAAATTGGGGCTCTGTGAAATAAACAGAGCCCAAGGGAAACCATGAAGAAAGCTAGATTCATCCAGGCTTCATCCCGAATGGAGTCTTCGGCTCTAAATCTGAGAACTGGAATGAGTGGCTGGTCTGTGGAGGAAGCTCCAAGGGCAAGAGAGGCAGTTCTGGCATACAAGCTGTCCTCCCCCACATCCTGCTTCCTCGCCATGTGCAATATGGAGCCCAAATCCTGCCCGTAGTGGTTCTCAAAGCAGATAGGCTTATTTCCTCCCATGTCAAAGGACCAGAGGCATCAAACCGCTTCCTTATCAAATCTGTGTTCAGGCTCTAAGAATAAGAAGAACTCCTGGGACTCCATTTGCTCCTGGGGGGCCAACCTTAGTTATTTTCATGGCTGCAACCTTGTCTCCCCTCCCCATGGGCCAGTTCAGCCCAGCCCTTCCTGGGTCCTCCTTTGGTCCCTCTGGCCTTGGAGATCTCACAGACTGGATAGATTTAGGGGTCTAGGGAAGCAGCACATATTTGCAGAGTTGGTTTCTATGCTGATCCCTAACATGGAGACGTCTTTTCTTTCTGTTTGCAAAGCAATCTCAGGATAACATCAGGAGTGTCCGGCTGCTGCAGCAAGAGGTTCTGCAGAATGTCTCGGTAATCAGACCTCGGGGACACCACCCTCTGTGCGTCTGGTCTACTGTGTGTGGGTGGGAGTGCAAGGTTTTCTTAGGGGAGGTTGATGAAAGGCCTTCACTTCTTCCCTGGACTGACCTTACACAGGACAGGGCTAGGCTGTGAGCCAGGGAAGTCAGTGTCTGGGGTTACTGCTATGTGGTATGTGTGTGCAGTGGTACTGGGAGATGGAGAGGGTGGAGGCTTGTAAACATCTTTCTCCATTTAGCCAGAGAATTATATATTTCTCTTTTACTTCTGTAGGCCCAATGGGCATCTACTCAGGTTCATATCCCCTCTTCCATTTTCATGCTTTTCTCTGTGTCCGTTTTCCTGGGTCCTCCTTTGGTCCATCTGGCTTTTGGTATCTCACAGACTGGATAGATTTAGGGGTCTAGGGAAGCAGCACATATTTGCAGAGATGGTTTCTATGCTGACCCCTAACCCAGAGACAACTTTTCTTTCTCTTTGCGAAGTGAGCTCATGACTTAAAATAATACCTAACAAAAGGATTCATCCTTTCTTTCATCACGATCAGGTAGAGTATGTTATCAAGGATGGGTCACCATCTTCTCATCACCCATCTAGTGAGCACAAACCTGCTGAGTCCTGAGCCCTGAGCCCTGAAAGATGTGGCACTTCAGGAGCTTGAGGGGGTTAGAGTGCAATTGCTGTGTCCAAAGATATTAGTTTCTCCTCATTTCTTCTGTTCTCAGTCATTTTCCAGCCAACTCTCTATCACCAAGTCCAAGTTCAAGCCCTTTTCAGGGCCCATCACATCCCCATAGCTGTTAAAGAGACCATGTGGCATAGAAGAAAGAGAATATTAACCAGATGGGCAGTCAGGAATCCTGAGAGCTAGGCTGTGTCTGCCACTGACTGACTGTGTGACCTGGGGCAGGTCATTTATCTCCCTGGGTCTTGGTTCCTCCTGTCAAACAAAGATGCTGCTCTCCATGGCCCCTGAAGGCTCCTACAGATCTTAGGTTCATCATCACCTCCTAGAAGATCCCTATCTCTGCTGTGCTTATCTTGCCTTGGGTGGCATGTGGGTTGTTCCTTCAGGGGGTCAGGGTGGCCAGAGGCCTTGGCTCAGCAGTGACCCCGACCTTCCCCAGGATGCTGAGAGCTGTTACCTTGTCCACACCCTGCTGGAGTTCTACTTGAAAACCGTTTTCAAAAACTACCACAATAGAACAGTTGAAGTCAGGACTCTGAAGTCATTCTCTACTCTGGCCAACAACTTTGTTCTCATCGTGTCACAACTGCAACCCAGTGTGAGTAGCACAGGCTCTGGATACTGGCAACTCTGGGTTCAAGTCTAGGTCTGCTTCCAGTCTGCTGGGTGGCCCTCTGCAAAGTCCTCCACTTTCCTGGGCTTCAGTTTGTTATCTGTAAAATGGGGATGACCACTCCTGCCTGGCAGGATTGCTGCGAGAATTAAAGGAGGCAGCCCCTTTCACAAGGTGGGAGTTTGGAATTGGCTACCTTGGAGGTGCAGGATTCAGCCTTGGGCTCTCAGGCTTTTGGGAAAAGTGAGAGGGAAAAGTGAGAGGGAGCTTGCATCTGCTCCTACCTAAAACTTGGCACAACTTCTTTTCCCATGTTATGCAGCAGGAAAATGAGATGCTTTCCATCAGAGACAGTGCACACAGGCGGTTTCTGCTATTCCGGAGAGCATTCAAACAGGTAAGGCCAAGAGCTGAGAGCTTGCCCATCCAGTAGAATAGACTATTCTGAACCATCACATGAGGGCGCCTTAGAGACCCAATGCAGAATGTAATGCAGGGGACGCATCAGCTTTGCCCCAAAACCCCCTGACTTAGCACGAGCACAGGTATATTTGCAGAAGCATCATAAACTAAGTGGTCTTTTTTCTTCCAGTTTTCAAGTTAAAGTGCTTTTATATTTTCCTACAAGATGATTTTGCTAGAGGAAATTTCCCTGTGTTTTGTGGGTACTTGAGCTGGGCAACTGAAGTCAGAAGAGAGGGAGACACCCCACCCCTACCCCATATTTTCCATGTATTTTCCATGATGCTCAACTGGTCTAGTTGTGAAAAACAATTACGGGAAATTATATTTGCTTTTCCAAAATTATGACAACAAAGAAAAATATTTGCTTTTCCAAAATTATGACAACAAAGAAAACCCAAATATCATTCCCAGCTCCCCTCAGAACATAAATGATTTTGATCACTTTTTATTTGAGGAAGAGATGCATCAGCCTATAAATAAATGGTGAAGAGCAATAACATCTGATGGAGACTGGCCACCTGGGCTCATTTCACCTGTGCAGTGGATTCAGGTGGTGGGACACATCCACCTTATACTGGAGTTTGTGGTTCCTGTTGTTAGGCGTGCCATGTGCCTTTTCCTTGTTCCTTGCCCACTGATACTCACTAGCCTGTTTGTCCTCACCCCTGAAGCAGACAAACACATGTAGATGGAGGAAAAGTGACAAGCAGGTGAGCTCATCAGAGGCCATCCCAAAGGTGACCCATCCCATGGATTGGAGTCAGGTGTATTTCAGCCATGGCGGGTTAGAAGAAAGACTATTCTCATAGCTAACATGGTTGACCTTCAACCCTCTTTTCCCTTTAGTTGGACATAGAAGCAGCTCTGACCAAAGCCCTTGGGGAAGTGGACATTCTTCTGACCTGGATGCAGCAATTCTACAAGCTCTGAATGTCTAGATCAGGACCCCCCTTCCCCCACTGGTTCATTCCCTGTGTCATTTCAAACAGTCTCCCTTCCTATGCTGTTCACTGGACACTTCATACCCTTGGCCATGGGTCCCATTTTTGGCCCAGGATTATTGTCAAAGAAGTCATTCTTTAAGCAGCCCCAGTGACAGTCAGGGAAGGTGCCTCTGGATGCTGTGAAGAGTCTACAAAGAAGATTCCTGTATTTATTACAACTCTATTTAATTAATGTCAGTATTTCAACTGAAGTTCTATTTATTTGTGAGACTGTAAGTTACATGAAGGCAGCAGAATATTGTGCCCCATGCTTCTTTACCCCTCACAATCCTTGCCACAATGTGGGGCAGTGGATGGGTGCTCAGTAAGTACTTAATAAACTGTGGTGGTTTTTTTGGTCTGTCTTTGGATTGTTAAAAAACAGAGAGGGATGATGGCATGTAAAACTGAACTTTAGAGTGTGAAAATCACACTGTCTTCTGATATCTGCAGGGACAGAGCATTGGGGTGGGGGTAAGGTGCATCGGTTTGAAAAGCAAATGATAAAATGTGGATTAAAGTGCCCAGCACAAAGCAGATCCTCACTAAACATTTCATTTCCCACCCACACTCACCAACCCACCCCATCATCCCTTTCCCTTGGTGCCCTCCTTTTTTTTTGTCCTAGTCATTCTTCCCTAATGTGCCACTTGAGTGTCAAGCTGACCTTGCTGATGGTGACATTGCACTTGGATGTACCATCCAATCTGTGATGACATTCCCTGCTAATAAAAGACAACACAACTCAAGTCTGGCAGCCTTTCTTCTCTATTTCTGGATGAATGCCCAGTGAGACTGTGCAGTATAGCCAGAAGAGGCCTTCTTCCCAGCAGCAAAGCTCGGCATCTAGCCTCAAGCTCTGGCTGAACTTTGTGGTCGACATCAATCTAAAGATATAATGTCTGACTATGACCTTGTCCCAAAAACTTAGACAAATAGTATATGTAGGAGGTGGGATATCTCTTCTTCCATGACATAAGTGCTACCCAGGAATTTCTTACTGCTTTCCTTCCCCACATTGTCTGGAACTGCCTAAGAAATGGGCAACATTTGTGAAAGCCAAGAAATGTAATAGCTTTGGATGACTAAAATAGATAAAAGTTAAGGTAAGTGCACAAACATCAGTGTCAGGCTATGGAAGAAAGATAAAGAGATGACAAATACCTTTTTTTTTGAGGAGAGATGCTGAGGTCAGGGCACTTACGTGCATCAAGTGATGGAGACAAAGTAAAGAGAGTTTATGGATATATATGCATATCTCGCTAACAAGCTTGGTTCTGAAATTTAGAATACCTCATCACATCAAGATAAATTGCCTTTAGCATAGAACTTGAGATAAGTAGAGGTTCACTAGAAGTGCTAACTTTTGGATCAGGGCAAAGGCATTTCCGGGAGTGTTTTTATACTAGACCCCTACCTAGTCCATGGGGCTGAGGCATGTCCACATAACTCAGAGCAACAGCCTTCTACTTGTGTAAGACCCAAGCATGGGAAGGATGCCCAAGACAATAGCTATGCCTCTGCCCCAGCCTGATGCCATGTGGTCTAGAGTCTGGGCAGCAACAACCCTGTGGTCAAAGACATGGAAGAAATGCTCTGCAAATCCCACAGCCTGTTAGATTGGAAAAGAAGCAAGTGGCATTGGGACAATTGCTCTGCATGCCTACAGCTTACCTGTCAACTACAGGAGGCTGCCAAGGTGTGCAAGAGGACCTGAGGGCAGAGCCATGCTCAGGGCACAGATAGACGGGGATGGGAGTCAAGATGGGGCATGGGAAGTGATGACGGCTCTAAGAACACACGAAGCAGGTATTGGATATCAGCAGATAGATGAGACTCCTTGGCACTACAGTCTGAGCCTGGGGTCGGGGGACAGCTGGGGAGTTGTCAGGCAGGAACATTGATGTAGTCATCTGAATTACTGTCCTCCATCTTGGCGGCAGGCTGGTGGTAGAGACTCACATATTCACAGCTGCTCTTCAGAGATGGGGCATGGAACCAGGGAGATTCAGACACCTGGGGACAATGAAAGAAGCATCACTGGATCTGGGTAGGGTGATTTTAATATCTCCCCAGGTGGATTTTCATAGCAGGCAATGGAGCATGGGCATGGCTGCTGAGTTCCAGAAGGCAAAGACACAGAGATGGCTCAGCTCCACCAAGTGGAGCAGCCCTGGGGATTTTCAGGGTAGTGCCTCACCCGAGATAACTGGAAAACACTGAGACCTAACGTGGGCAGGAAATGCCTTAAATAGGGCTCAGAGTAAAATCATGTGGCTAAGCATGGGCCTGAAAGAGATCCAGCTGCCAGAGAAGTATCCCCTCGGGGATAAGATGCTGTGACTTATGGAATAAATATGCATCTTCTTAGGAAGTTATTCAGAAATAGAGTGAGTCACCCTCAGCACCTCTGTAAGGGCTCAGAGACGCTGTGATGTGGGGTCGTGACAGTGCATTCAGGAAGGGGATGGGTGGTGAAGGGGATAAGATGGCAGCCCACAGGGCACTCTGGCGCTCCTTTTCCCCAGAGGGAAACTTCAGGATCATCCACCTTGAGGATGGTCAGTTCTTAGAGGACAGGACTGTGCCAATGACCCCCACATGGCATAGTTACTATTGCATCCACTGAAGAAGGCCACAAGGGGGACAGTAGTGTATTTAAACACAAGCTCTGAGAATTAGACTTCCAGCAGCCTGAATATAGTAGGCATTCAGGAAGCACTCATTGAAAGAAACTTTTATATATTTTGTACTTTACTAAAGAGGGAAGCAGCAGCAGCAGCTTGCTTTGAAAATACGTCTTCCATCAGTCAAGGAAGTAGGAAGTCACAAAACAGAAAAGAAGAAAAAAGAGACGGTTGAAAAGAAAAATAACAGTGAGAGCAAAGAAAACTAAGAAACAAAATTAGATGGTCCTGGTGTAAATGTCAGTGAGGATGAAACTCAGTCAAGTAATCAATGAAAGAGCTAAAAAGCACACATGGGTAGCATTCCTAAAACTTAGATGATGTAAGACCGGTCAAGAAAGGCCTGGATCCCAGAACAGCTCAAGATGTCAACCTGAAGCAAATTAACCAGCACATAACAATAGGAGAAATGATACATGAAGTTGGAGGTGACACAGAGAAAAAAGACAGATGATCAAGATGAAGTTTCCAGGGTGAGAAGGAAGGCAGTAATATCCGAGCTTCCTTTAGAGGCCAAAGAAGAGGCTGAGGATGGGGAAGAAGATGAGGCTGAGGATGGGGAAGAGGATGAGGCAGAGGGAATCCTCGATGTATGACATGGTTTTTTGTTTTTGTTAAATTAAATGAACTTTGAAAAAAGTGAGCAAACCCTTTGTTAGTTTCTCACACTATCTCTTCTATTATGTTTTAACTAACTTTCTTTGTCTGATAATAGAGATGGTTTTAGATTTGCTTAAAAAAACCCCAAAAATTTATCTTTCACTGCCTGTTATAGTTCATAATTTGAGATTAACTTATTTGGCTTAAGAAATGGAAACACTCCCCATTATTAAAGGCTATAATAATGAGTCACTAAGCATAGGCACCTTGTTGTAAATTTGTTCCATCAAGTTTTTTGCCCCTAATAGTGGGAATGAGAGTTTCAAGTAAAAAGGCAGGGTCAGCTTGGAACAAAGTGCAGGCCCAGGTGAGGGTCTGTGTGGTCATAGGGCAGTTTTAGAGAAAAGAGCTGCTGGAAAGATGGAGTAGACAGACAGTGTCGCGCCTGTCTGTCCCTCGGACTGGTTGCTGCACCATCCTCTGGAGTCTTGCCTGCTCAACGGTCAGTACATAGGTACTAGGACCGTGTGCACATATTTCTGAAGCAAGCTGCTACTGCTTCCCTCTTTAGTAAAGTACAAAATATACCGAAGTTCCTTTCAATGAGTACTTACTGAATGCCTACTACGTTCAGGCTGCTGAACACTGCCATGCAGGTGTGAACCTTCTCTAGCGGGAGTGGGGAAGGGCAAGTTGGAGAAGCCGGAGGGGACTGCACAGAACTGCCTCTTGTTGCTGGGTACTACTGTTCCCTTTGTAGCCAGGCCCACGATTGACCAGCTGGGGATTAAATTTCTCAGCCTGCCTGAAGGGAGGGTCACTACATGGTTAAATTTCAGCCTGTAGGATGCAAGTGGAAATGGTGGGAAACGTCAGGGTCATGGGCTTAAGAAGCAGCATTCTCTTCCTCTCTCCTGTAAGCTGGGACGTGCACACGGTCCTGGTGCCTAAGTACTGACCATGGAGCTGGTAAGACTCCAGAGGATGGTGCAGCAACCAGACGGAGGGAATTTCAGTCCCGAGACGACCTCTTGGCTCACTGGCTCAGGCCACCTCTTCCTGTCCCTTTGTCTCTGAGCCTTTACTTGGGGAGGGGGAAGTAGGCTTCCACCGTGTGGGCCCTATCTTTTGGAGTCTGTGCTGCATTAGCTTAGTCTACGCTCGAATTAAAACAGGGATTTTCTTTTCCCAGGCGGCTGCCGAAGATGGCGGAAGTGCAGGTCCTGGTGCCTGATGGTCGAGGCCATCTCCTGGAACCCCTGGCGGCCATCATGGCTAACTAGGTACTGCTGGGCCGGAAAGTGGTGGTCGTACGCTGCGAGGGCATCAACATTTCTGGCAATTTCTACAGAAACAAGTTGAAGTACTTGGCTTTCCCCTGCAAGTGGATGAACACCAACCCTTCCCGAGGCCCTTTCCACTTTCCGGCCCCCAGTCGCATCTTCTGGCAGACCGTGCAAGGCTTGCTGCCCCAGGAGACCAAGTGAGGCCAGGCCGCTCCGGACCGCCTCAAGGTGTTTGACGGCGTCCCACCACGCCACGACAAGAAAAAGCGGATGGTGGTTCCTGCTGCCCTCAAGGTCGTGCGTCTGAAGCTCACAAGGAAGTTTGCCTATTTGGGGCGCCTGGCTCACGAGGTTGGCTGGAAGTACCAGGCAATGACAGCCACGCTGGAGGAGAAGAGGAAGGAGAAGGTCAAGATTCACTACCGGAAGAAGAAACAGCTCACGAAGCTGCGGAAACAGGCCGAGAACGTGGAGAAGAAAACTGACACACAGTGGTCAAGACCCACGGACTCCTGGTCAGAGCCCAATAAAGACAGTTAATTCTTCATGCTTGGCCTGGCCTGCCCTTCGTCCATCGTGGCCCTGGAATGTGCGGGACCCAGGGGCAGCAGCAGTCCAGGTGCCACAGGCAGCCTGGGACATAGGAAGCTGGAAGCAAGGAAAGGGGGCTTAGTCACTGCTTTCTGAGGTTACTTGAAAGCACGCGGAGAATTGTGCAGGTGTCATCTATCTATGACCAATAGGAAGAGCCACCAGTTACTATTAGCAAAAGGGAGCCGGAAGACTAATTGGAGGGGCCCTACCTTGTGAGTGGAGCATCTGTTTAACTTTCCACCTGGTCATATAACTCTGCAGCTGTTAGAATGTGCAAGCGCTTGGGGACAACACGAGCTTGCTGTTGTACGATGGGTATTTACAGCAGCATAGACTGGGAAGATGTGCGACCAAGGGGTTACAGGCATTGCCCATGCTCCTCACCTGTATTTTGTAATCAGAATCAAATAAATTATTTTTAAAGAAAAAAAAAAAAA